TTATAGAAAAAATGGCATAAACTTAAAATAATTACAAAAAGATAAAAGTATAAGATTTAATTTCACAATCTTATATATAAATGATTTATACTTTCATGACATTGCAATTATTTGTGTTGATATAATTTTTGTGCAATTCGACCAACAACTTGTGTAATTATGATTTTGTTGATCATTATTAAGTCTGTCATTAATAAGGTGGTCAAAGTCAAACAAATCCGAATTGTACCATTATTAAACTAGGAACTTACTAAACCCACAATTAAACAGAATCTTACGCCACTTAGGGGTGTTTTAGAAAAATGGTTAAAAGTTGATTTTTTAATTTTTTTTTTTAAAAATATGTAAAAAATGTGAGAGACGATATGACTCAAAATTAATTAAAAATTAAAAAATAACTTTTAACTCACTTTCCAAAATAGGCCTTACTAATATAAATTATCTCCCTCTAGATACTTCTCCTTCTATTGAAGGGAACAACCTCAAAAAAAAATAAAAATAAATAAATAAATAAAGAAAAAAAAGAAAGAAAAATTACATGTCAATAGAAGTTTAAAAAAATAGAGAAGAAGAAGGAAGAAGAGGGCTGCGAGCCTCGCCGCAGAAAAGAAAAATTACATGTCAATAGAAGTTTAAAAAAATATTTGCAATATACTATAAACTTTACAAACATTAAAATATAAAATGATATACTTTTCCTTTCAACTTTTACACTGACATGCATTTTCTCCATCCAAAATTTGGTAGAACTTTTTATTTATATTTTAAAGACGATTTGGGAACTACAATGCAAAATGTGTAGTTGATTTGACATGTTGAATTTGGGATTAACGTGGCGTTTGGTTTGTTTATTAAAAATGTATTTAAAAAATTTGAAATTGAGGTAATTTTGTTTAACACACTAAAAAAAAAAAAATCTATGACTAGAATTGTTTAACTTTTTTAACTCTTAAAAAACAAAGCACAAAAACAAACCAACAAACAAACGAAGGCTTAGAATAATTGAACCAACCATTATTATTTTAAAACAATTAAGGGCACATGATGAGATGACTTCTATGTTCTTTATTTTATTACCTGCCTTGCCAACAATGCCTAAAACCACTCCACTTTGAGACCTAATTTTAATATAAAGTCTTTCATTTAATTGTTAATAATTAAGGCCAATGACACAAATCCTTTCTCCCCTCTCCACTTGTGTAGACATAATCCCATGATTCATGTTTTTCGTATCTTTTAGTGTTTGAAAGTCTTTTTATATGTTCTTTACATCTAGAGATGACTTTAATTTCTCTTAAATCTGTAAGATTACAGTTTAGAACTATAAGCTTATTATGAACCCTAATTCGATGATTCAATTTATTATTCAACAAAATGAATGATGTATTTTTAAAGTATTACTTAAACAAATGTGATAAAATTATATTTGATTAAAATAAATTGATAAAATCTGACATTCATAACAAGCCCATCTAATCCATTGTATTAGATTGAAAAGAAACTCAGCCCCTTACATTTTCCCTTTCTTCATAATGCCGCTAAAGTACATCACAATTCTTTCACTCTCTTTATAGCTGTTTTTTCACCCCCTTTTCAAAAAAATCTGTTAGTGCCATTTAACTCCAATTAATTTACTTGTTTGTCTTGGTGCAAGTTTGTGCATCATTACATAAGGAAAATCCACCTTTAGCAATCTTTTGTTTGATTGGTATTGCCTTTAGTTACTACCCTTTGTTTAATTGGTATTGCCTTTAGTTACAACCCAAGCAAAAATTATACTAACGTCTCTTAAAATTTTAAAAAATGCAAGTCTTACATCTTTAATATTATTATACTAATCTTCTTAAAACTAATGAATTACTGATAAAAAAAAAATAATGAAGTGATATATGAATTAAAATTTTAAAGAATACCAAACTTATTGTATTTCTCTAAATCTTAAAAGAAATCAGTGTAATTTACCCTATTTTGTACTCTTCTTGTGAGTTGTCAAAATTAAAAAAAAAAAAATGAAAAAATAACCTCATTTTTTATGACATTTATGTTAGGGAAAAAAAAAAAAAAAACCTAAACTAAACTAAAAAATTCACTAAAAACAAATAAAACCAGCAAAAATATATAATAAAAAAAACCCTAAAACATTACAATTGAATATTGTTACCGTTCAAATTGAACTCTCAAACAATAAGAAATAAAAATAAGGATAAAAATGCTAACAAAATACACGTAACAATTTTTTTTTTTGTTTTTTAAAATTCAAACAAATAAAATGTCAATTTATGCCCATATTCTAATCAATGGTCGATTTAGGATGCACATATATAATTTTAGAGGAGAATCATTTTAAAAACCTTAAGACTAAAAATTAAGGAGAGACACATGCTCCTCATAATCCTAAAGTGGCTCCGCCCTTGCTTGAGCCCGCCAAACCACGTGGCGGCACTCCTTCCCCCCAAGTGGACTAGATAATTTATGGAGCTACAATTAATATGATAATGCCAAAAGCTTGCTCATGTTATACAGGTCATGGTTCCAATAGCCCTAATGAAAAAAGAATCAAGTAAAACTAATGACAATGGTACTCAAATGAATTGTTTAATCACTTCCATCTCCATCACAAAAGTTGCTTTACAATTTCAAGTAAAATATATTGGAAGGGGGTGTTCATGAAATCTACTAATTTGGGTAAATGACGAAAACACCCTTGTGTGCTTTTCACATGCACATTCTTGTTGCCGTATGCCCAACAAGAAGCCACTCTAGATCTATGCTGCCAAGAACATAACAAAGAAAGTTGAATTGATTGCAATTCCCCATCCAGTATAATTTAACCTTACCCAATCAGTGGTCCAAGCTCCTAATGATTCATCAATTGTGTTTGTGTGTGTGTGTGTGTGTGAGAGAGAGAGAGAGAGAGAGAGAGAGAGAGAGAGAGAAAGAGACTGACAACCAGAACAAATTTTCAACACAACTAGCAAAAAGTTGGAACTCATACAATACTTTCAAAGGCAGGACCACCAACCAGCACTGTCTACCTCATATTTGAAAAGGATTTGTCTATTATGTATTGAAAACTTTTCAGGTTGCTTTGGAACTGATACTCTTTGAATGGAGAAGATTTGGATCTCAAAATTACTGAGACATAGGAAGATTGGTAAGGGAAGTTGGGTTGAGAAAGATGTGAGAGAGAGATAGAGAAGATATATAGCAAATATAGAATGTACCATTCGTAGGAAGTCTATGTTGAGATTTCTAATTCACCTCAATAAAGTCTATCCTCGGGTATGGCAGGGTTGAACTGCCTTGGACCAGTTGGCTGGACTTACAGGTCTATTGTTGGGCCTATGGGCCACTAGCCCAAAAATAAAATGTTAAATATATAAATAATAAAGTACCCCTCTCTAACAACTTAAGTTTTTAGTTTTAAATCAGATGTGCTTAAGAATTTAACATCATATCAAACAACATAACTTGAATTCAAACTTAACCGTCTACCTGATAATTATAATACTTGCAATGGCTAGCCCTGGTGGTTAACCTAACAAAATTGGAAAATAAAAGGTATTCATCCACGAATCCACAAGTTAGGAGTTTTCAAGGAAGAAGACAAAACCACAAGACACAGTTGTGTCGTTTCACATCCACAATGGACTGAAAGCTATACTAAATTATGAGCCATAAACAACTTATCTAGACGACCACAAAATAACTACAGACAAAAAAAAAAACCATGCCTCTGAAAATACACAAGTTATATCTGAAGCAAAAATCAATGTCTATAATCACAAGTTGCAACAAAAAAGTGATCTTATAAAATCTCAGAACTCGGTACCATGTGCCTGATTATGCGTGCAGTCTAATTATTAGAAAAGGTGGGATACAATAGATAACGCAGCACCATTAGAGGACAAGGGTTGAAAGACAGCTTGAAGGACTACAAATGTGACATGCATTGCAATTGAAGAAAATGACAACTTGAAGAAGGTGACAAGCATGAGGCGAATTCAAGAAGATGCGAAGTTTATCAATCAATAATGCTAAATTTTGGACAATAGTTGGATCTACTAGATATTTGTCATGGCTACAAGACAATCATCTCGTTGCTCGCATATGATGTGAATCAAGGGCAAATAGTCTTCTTCAAGGCAACCTTTGACAAATTCACAATTCCCTCAGTATAAATTATTCGAGTATGTAGAAGCAATGTGTTAATTCTTCATGAAGTTCTACCCTGCAAGGATAGAATGAAATTGTGATTTAGGATGCACATATATAATTTTAGAGGAGAATCATTTTAAAAACCTTAAGACTAAAAATTAAGGAGAGACACATGCTCCTCATAGGGAAAATAACACGGGCATTTTCTCTTCGTCAAACCCAAAATTAGGGTGATTTTAATAACAATAAGAAGTCAATTTTCTGTAAATTAGAATCCAAATGCCAAATTAATGATATCATTTTTATTAACCTAGACAATGATGGAATCAGCATTCTAGCATGGAATGGTTTCTCTACATAGTAAACAAGTGTAATCTGAACTGACCTTGCCAGAGTTTCTTATGTCCCTTTCCCTGCCGACCCCACACAGCTCAAAGTGTAACATCAAATTTGTCCGGAGGATACATCCAAGGATTGATTAATATGCACAGCGACCCAATCCTGACACCAAAACAAAACATGACCCACTTTCATGTCTTACTTTCACTAGATGATCTAGATTAATAACATGCCAAACTATGACATTGACCAAACATGTTTCAAGACAAGCCAATTCAATCCGAAATGCGGGCTCATCATTAATCATCATACACTTTTGTCCGAAGAAAAATTGAAGCATATTCTACAACAGACAAAACAATGATACTGACCTGTCATGTGGGGGTGTCAGATAGAGGTCCACCTAGATGTAACCACTTCAGAATCAGCTATATGGGAAACTGGGAATATAACCTGTGTCACTACAAGATTTCAAGCAATAACCACTTCATGAACAACAATAATGCTGGCAAAATGACAGTGAATTAACTGGGGTTAACATAATTGTATCTGCGCTGTTCAAACAATGAAAAATGTAAAGACCTTTACAGTACTACAAGAAAAAAAAGTTCAGTTACCCTTTACCGTACAAGCTGAAAAAAATAAAAATAAAGAAACAAACAGAACTTCATGGTTCGAAGTATATTGTACATGGTTGTACTGTATATGATATTCCGAGAACTAGTTTACGAAGTGAAACCAAGCCATCTTACTGTCCACTCCAAAAGCTTAAGGCCATCACACACATATGAGCAATTCTCGGCAGTGTAGGATATGCAAGTGTGCCAAGTATAAACCAATTCAAACTTAAAAGAGCCACTACATCGGATGCGGGTTTGTTCTTGATGGTGGACAAAAACCGTACAACACTCGTCAGTGACATGCCAACCACAGTGAAGAGAGCTACAACGAGAGGCATGCAAGGGTCTTCAGCCTCCCAGATAATTGTTCCCACTAACAATGACAATACTGCACTGAAAAGGCTCTGTAAAAGTGCAACCTCCCTTTGTTGGCCAAGAACTTCATTCATGTCTATGTTTCTGGAGGTAATACCTGGTGTAACTGCATGGCTAGGACCACTGGCTTTCAATCTAGTTCTCATGAAATCAATTGACTCAGTTTTACTTTTGCTCTCATCTTCGCAAGCATCTTTGTGTGTCGGGAGGTCTTGAATGATAATGCCACTCCCACTAAAACTAGATTTCAATGGTTGGAGCCCATAGGAAATGCCATATTTATGAGCAACATCATTGTCATGGTCATGGCCTTTGTCTGTGTCATCTTGACTTTGGGAGCTCCAAGGTCCTTTACCCTGAATCTCCTTCAGCTGAAGATTTTCTACCTTCTTGTCCTGCAACTGTTGGAGAGCACACGGGATTCAACCATCACAAATAAGGTTCAATATCCAGAATAAGGAATTAGGGGATAATAGGTAATTTAGAAAATATGGATTAGCAATCCCAAAACATATGTTAAATCTAACAATAAGAGCCTGATGAGCACGCATCTGATGTTGGATTTTCATTTACAAAAGCTTAATGCCATTTTGAGGTTATAGTTAACAAAATTCCTGGAATTTGAAACATATTCTAGTGGCATTCCTAAATATTTGACCCAACAAGGAGCTTGAAACTTAGAAGATAGGAGATTCCTGATAAATAAGATTGTAGTTTATAGAGTCAATAACAAACTCAAACATATAACATAATTTAGCAAGTGGTTAGATAGAAATGAAATTATAAACTTTTGGAAAGACAAAAACTCTGGTATTGTGATGACAAGCACAAATGAGAAGTCCCTGTAAGATTTCTAAACAAAACTGTATATTAGATTTCATTGAACAAAGAATACATACATCACTCACTTATATAGACTACTAAATCCTAATCCCAAACAAATACATCAATGTTGTAGTGTTCTATTAGATATAGAACACTAACACTAATTTCTAATCCTAAAAGGAAAAGGAAAACGGAAAACGGAAAACGGAGAACAGTGTTTTCACACTCCCGCTCAAACTCAAGGTGTTTTAGTAGAAAACACTGAGAGTTTGTCAAGAAAAAACCGAAACAGAGCAGTGGTGTGAGTCTTGGTGAATACTTTAAAACTGAATTCTGTGAATACTTGGCCAAATTGGGTACTATTCACCAAACTTCTTGTACTGATACACTTGCCCAAAATGGTCGAGCTGAGTGTAAACACCGTCATCTCCTTGAGACAACTAGGTCTCTTTTTCTCTCTGCCTCCGTTCTAGCTCCGTTTTGGGGTGAGGCAGTTCTTACTGCTGCTTTTCTTCTCAACCGTATACCTACCCCTCTTCTTTCTAGTCGGTCTCCTTATGAGGCTCTGTTTTTTCATCCTCCTAATTACTCCCTCCTTCGTGTGTTTGGGTCTGCTTGTTTTGTACTTTTACCCCGTAAAGATAAGACCAAACTTAGTGCCCGGTCTGTCCTATGTGTCTTTTTGGATTATAGTCTCACTCAAAAAGGTTATCGTTGTTATGACCCTATTTCTTGTTGCCTTTATGTCTCCTGCCATGTTGCCTTTCTCGAACGTCTATCTTATTTTCAGCTTCCTCCTCTCACCGCCCCTGTTTCCAAAGAGGATTTGGTTCATATTGATCCATTTCCTTCTGAGGTCCCGTCTGATGAGTACATCTCCACAGTTACTCCTGAGCTTATTCCATCTTCTCCTCCAGCTTCACCTTTGGCTGCTTCTCCTCCTTCGGCCTCTTCTCCTTCTCTGTTGTTAGTTTATTCTCGTCGCAAGGCTCCTCCTCTATTAGTTGTCCCTGCCCCTACTGCTGATCCTTCTGCTTCTGACGACTCTGATCCTGCTGCACACCGATATCCTCCTCGAGCACGTCATCCTCCAAATAGGTTCGGTTGGTCTAATACTTATTTTTCTGCTTCCTATCGTACCTTTTTGTCTACTATTCACTCTTTTGTAGAACCTCAGTCTTACAAGCAAGCCTGTCAGGATCCTCATTGGGTTCAAGCTATGGAGGATGAGTTGTTTGTTCTACAGAAAACTAGTACATGAGAGTTGGTTCCTTTGCCTGCTGGTAACAATTTGGTTGGTTGCAAATGGGTCTACAAAGTCAAGACTCATTCTGATGGTTCTCTTGAACGCTACAAAGCTCGGCTGGTTGCCAAAGGTTTCTCCCAGGAATATGGTATTGATTATGAGGAGACGTTTGCTCCTGTTGCCAAGATGACTACTGTCCGTACTTTGATCTTTGTCGCTGCTATTCGTTCTTGGCCTCTTTATTAGATGGATGTTAAGAATGCTTTTCTTAATGGCCATCTCACTGAGGAGGTTTACATACGTTCTCCCCCTGGTCTTCACCATTCCTCTGGCCATGTTTGTCGTCTTCGGCGTGCTCTGTATGGTCTGAAGCAATCTCCTCGTGCTTGGTATGATCGCTTGCAAACTGCTGTTACCAAGCTTGGATTTCATCCTTCTGCTTCCGACTCTCCTTTATTTCTGAGACATACCTCAACTGGTATTGTTGCTCTCTTACTATATGTGGATGATATGATCATCACTGGCTCTGACTCTGCTGCTATCTCTGAGGTCAGGCAGCATCTTTTCAGCACCTTCGAAATGAAAGATCTGGGACCATTGCGGTATTTTCTTGGGTATTGAAGTGGCTTCTTCTCCTAAGGGTTACTTTCTATCCCAGGCTAAGTATGTCAACGAGGTTATCCATTGTGCCAGACTTACTGACACTAAGCTTTCTGATACCCCCATTGAGCTCAATGTGAAGCTTAACACTACTGATGGTGTTCCTCTGGACGATCCTACGTTATATCGCGAACTTGTGGGTTGTTTAGTTTATCTGACAGTTACTCGCCCTGATCTTGCCTATGCTGTCCATGTGGTTAGTCAGTTTGTTTCTGCTCCTCGCTCTACACATTGGGCTGCTTTGCTTCGAATTCTTCGCTATCTTCGCAACACTATCTTACAGGGCTTGCTATTCTCTTCTACTTCTTCATTAGATTTGGTGGCCTATGCTGATGCTGATTGGGCTGGTGATGTTAATGATCGTAAATCTACTTCTGATTTCTGTGTGTTTCTTGGCGATTCCCTGATTTCTTGGAAAAGCAAGAAACAAACTGTTGTTGCCCGTTCTACTGCCGAAGCAGAGTATCGTGCTATGGCTCATGCTATTGCTGAAATTGTCTGGCTTCGTGGTCTCTTACTTGACTTGGGTGTCCCTCAGTTTTCCCCGACCTCTTTCTATTGTGACAACCGAAGTGCTATTCAAATTGTTCATAACACTCTCTTTCATGAATGGACAAAGCATATTGAAATTGATTGTCATTTCATCCGTCAGCATCTACAATATGGCGTTATCTCGCTTCCTTTTGTTTCTTCAACTCTGCAACTTGCTGATTTCTTGACGAGCACTCTGAATAGTTGTTTCCAACTCATACTGCTTGGCAAAGTTGGACTGCTGATAAAGACAGAGTAAATAATCCCACACTTCCTTGGTAGTACTGTACTTGGAAAACATCATTCCAATACGATCATTCACAGAATTATGAAACCAGGTTCGAACTTGGGCATTATCACAATCCCAAGTGTCACAGGAAGACAGATACCCTTCCACCTTCGGGTCCAATGGACGAGGAACAGAACCAGAAATATAGCTCCATTTTTTTTGACCAAGAAGAAAATTCTTCATGACATTGGCCTAATAGGCATAATTGCCACCAGTGAGTTTACATTTGATGGCTTGGATTTTAGTATCTAACATTGTAATAAAACAAAATTTGTAATAAACAGACAAATATGGGGCTTTAGCGCAATAATCTTGAAATAGGGTTTTAAATAGAAATAGCCAAGTTGAAGACACAGAGAGAGAGACCGAGGCTGAGAAACGAATCAGACACAGATTGTAAGGAAGAGAGAGGCAAACGAACCAGAGAGCCGAAGTAGATGGCTGCGAATCGAATCAGACAGAGATCGCGAGGAAGAGAGAGGCCTTCGCGAGACGAACCAGAGAGGGCTAGGGTTTCGAACCTTCGTGAGTCTGGAGAGAGACAAGTCGCGACTCCGATGGTAACAAACCAGTCGAACCGGAGAGGGCTGATGGTGATGACCCAGACAAACCAGAATGTCACCACTTAGGGCTGATCACGAACCAGAAGAACCAAGGAGGGTTCAAGATTGATGACCCTTTGACCAGCGAACCACGATGGCGACAAGCGAAGTAGCTAGGGTTTCGAACCTAGCTCTGATACCATGTAAGATTTCTAAACAAAACTGTATATTAGATTTTATTGAACAAAGAATACATACATCATTCACTTATATAGAATACTAAATCCTAATCCTAAACAAATACGTCACTGATATAGGGTTCTATTAGATATAGAACACTAACACTAATTCCTAATCCTAAAAGGAAAAGGAAAACAGAAAACGGAGAACAGTGTTTTCACAGTCCCAACATATACAATACAAAAATCCTATAAAAACTGAAGTATTCAGAACCACAGGCAAAGATGATTATAATTCTGAAACCTTTAGACTACTCTAGATTACAAGTTTGTTTTGTTTAATTAGAAAAGGAAAATTTGGCAATAAACCCCTCTTAGCTTCCCTTTGTTGTTAAAAGGACCAAAAAAAATTTAGTACTTTCAAAATCCCCTCATAATTATAAAGTCTTGTATGAAGGACAAAATTTGTTATTTGAATATTTTATTTGACCATTATACCCCCCTCTCTCTCTCTCTCTCTCTCTCCACCAACTCAATGGTTGTTCATTGTCTTTACCATCTTCGTCGTCTATCGGCATCATTCATACTCACTGTTGGCTGGCAACTATCATTTTTACCGTCAAACCACAACCACCATCTCAGATTTGATAATAACTTCAGATCTGAGATAAAAAAAAAAAACTTAGATTTGACAGAAAAATGAGAAATTAAGATATTGCAATGAAAAATCAAGAGTTTTTTGTTTGTTTGTTTGTTCATAGATCTAAAAGTAAAATTTGACTCTGGTTCATTCATTTAATATGTACTCTGTTTTTGTAACAGTAAATTTTACTTTAAATCATAGTAAATTTTACTCTGATTCAAAGTAAAATTTTACTCTTTTTTTTTTTTTTTGATTACAGAGTAAAGTTTACTATGATTCGAATTAAAATTTTACTCTAAAACAAGTTGCGATGATGGCTTTACAAGAGAGTGTTGTGTTATGAACCAGAGTAAAATTTTATTGTTGGAATAACAGAGCATTATGAGAAGAAGGAGAGATAGAGAGACAGAGTTCGAAAACAAAGGATAAAGAAGAGAAGGAGGAGGAGAGAGAGAGAGAGAGAGTGAAGGATCTCAGATTTGAGGTTTGCGAACTGTCGCAAATCGTCATTTTCCGGCAACGACTGTGAATGATCTCAGATTTGAAGTTGTGGATACGACAAGTGATGGTGGTGATGAAGACAGTAGAGAAAGAGTTCCATGGTGAGCGGCGGTGGCACCGATGGAAAGCGGCGATGGCGCCGATGAAAAGCAACAGTGATAAGAGCGAGACAGAGAGAAGAGATATTACGATGAGAGAGAGTGATTGCAATCTGATACACACACATATATATATAAGGGTATTATAATAAAAGAAATAAGTTTTAAAATACTAGGAGGTTTTGAAAGGATCTATATAATTCTTGTCCTTTTGAAGGACAAGTTAGACACTGAGAGGTCTATCAACAAATCCCCCATTAGAAAAAGATACAAGAACCCTAAATCCTCCAGGTTCTCTACAGGCAGAAGTCGGAGTAATAAATACAAGGACTATACATTACCAACAAAATCCTTTAAAAAAAAAAGAACTGAGAACTGAGAACACAAGCGCAGTTGAGCACTCCTGATATATCAAAACCACCTCACTCTCTCTCTAGCTATACATACATATATATGAAAAAACAAATATATGCATGCATGTATATACACAAATATGAGATGGCTTGTTATGGTGTTCTCTTTAATTTTTTTCCTTCTTACCTTTCTCTAATTAATAAAACAATAACCACAGTAGCTGAGGTCTCAAAGGACTTTGGGAGCTACTCTTGATAATTTCATATATAAATTCATCAAATCCAAGTAACTTGATTTTGTAATCTCATTTTTTCCTCGTTAAGTTAACTTAAGCATAGACAAAGTCATGGCCTCTGTTTCTAAAGGAACATGCACAGGGAAATTGTTTCGTGAACAAGAAATACTTAGATTCTAAAATTTCATCAAGACAACATTCGTTTCAAATATAGAGATTCTAAAATATTTGCACCAGAGTTGCAAAATAATCAGAAAATTGCTACCTCACTCTCTAATAGTTCAATTTTGACAATGGCCTCCTCATGTTCATCTTCAAGTTCTCCTAGCATTGCCTCCATCATTCGACATTCTTTAATGGACATCTGCAGACGTTCTTCAAGTTCCTTCCTGTTCCACACAAGATTCTCCAGCTGAATCTGCAGCTCATGCAGACGCATTTGTAGCTGCATATCATAAACACTATCCTCATATCCATTATACATCAGAGACATTACAAAAGGAGAAAGAAATAGAAAAAAAGCGAGAAGTATAATAATAATCCTTTGTAGGATCTGAATCTCTAGCCAACGACCAAATCGAATATTTACCCTTCCGGAGTCTACCACAAATTCCATTGAGAATTTAGAATGTCATTGTGCAACTTGGAGAACTTCATCAACAAAATTTTCAGGATAATGGAATATCAAAATGCATGGGCAAACAAAAAACTCATAATTGTTCTGGTTATGTTCCTCAGACCCAGAACATCTACGTACAATTATATGATGGAAAATGAACCAATTTTAGTAAATTTAAAAAGGGCTTGGCAGTAAGAATAGTGTCAAATATACAAAAGATGAAACTAGAACCCAAATAGGGGGTTAAATAGCATTTCTTGATGTTAACATCATGAATTAAGACATAATATTGTAGTTGAAGAGAACTCAACTAGCAGGTCAAATAGCATATCTTGATGTGAACATCAGAAATTTAAGACATGATATTGTAGTTTAAGTCACCACTACACAAATGGAGAAAAAGAAAAGAAAATAACTGATATTGTAGCCAACACTTGCACACAAATGGAGAAAAAGAAGAGAAGAGATTGTAATTGAAGCTCTCATTGTCATAGAAGATTAAGTCTGAAAATAGATCATGCTAAATGAGATCCTCCCAAGAACTGTTTATTTTTAATCAGGAAAAACATCACACCAAACCAGTACTTAAGTTGGAAGATCAAACGAATCCAGTTTTTCTTTGTAAAGAAATAATGTCTATGGAAATAGGAAGTTCTCTAGAAGTGGAAATTAAGAAATTCCTAAAGAGCCAACATATGTCTTTCCTGTTTAATAGAGGGCACACTCCTGGTAAGGGTTTCAGTTTCTAAAACATCTAACAACCTTGTCATTCATGTTTTTACTGATGTTGATTGGATGAGAGATCACCATAATAGGGGACTATGTCTGGTATCTTTACCTTTGCAGGTGGTACTTTGCTTACCTTAAGGATAAGAAGCAAAATGTAGTGGCATGATCTGGTGTGGAGCAGAATACTAGACAGTAGCTTACATTGAATGTGAGAGGCCATGGGTGAGATCACTATTAAGGATGGCTCTTTCCTGTAGCAAGGCACATGGGTATGAAGAAACAAAGTAAATGCTAGGTCGGATCCCTTATGAAAATGAATTCTATTTTGAATCGATTAAATGCTAGGTCGTTCCCCTCACGTGACGCGTTGCGCCTGCCTCTGGGTGTTTCGAAAAGTGAGCAAGGGCACCGCATCGACACCTGGATGCGGTGAAAAATGGGCAAAGGTTCCTGCGTGTTTCTGGATGAGCGTGGGTAAAGAAGTTAGTCCAAGACTATAAGTTTAGGGTAACCACTTGAAATATAGGAACTTTAACTGGTAAAACGATGGAATTGATAGATGTTATGATTAGGAGGAGAGTTACTATATCATGTGTACAAGAAACTAAGTGAATGGGTGAGAAAGTTAGGGAAATTGAGGACACTGGTTTTAAACTGTATTATATTGGCAAGGATAGACGCAGGAATGGGGCAGAAATCATAATTGCCAAGGGTCTTATGGAAAATGTAGTGGCAGTTATTAGGAAAAGGGATATGATTATGTTAGTTAAACTAGTTATTGAAGGGAATATAGCGAACGTTATTAGTGCATACGCCTCTCAAGTAGGATTAGATGATCAGACTAAGGGATTTTTGGGAGCGAATGGATGAGATCTTACAAGAGATACCCGTAGGAGAGAGCCTGGTTATAGATGGTGATTTCAAAAGTCATGTCAGCATAGATAAACTAGGCTATGAAAGGGTGCATGGTGGATACGGTTTTGGTGATAGAAATAAGGCTGGAGAGAGTATCTTAGATTTTGCGTTAGCTTTTGACCTGGTGATGGCCAATACTATGTATAAGAAGAGGGAGGAGCATTTGATAACCTTTAAGAGTGGGTCAGTTAAGAGCCAAATAGATTACTTTTTAGTAAGAAAAGTGGACCGCCTAAAATACAGTGATTGTAAGGTGATTCCTGGAGAGAGCTTGGCCTCTCAACATAGGATTTTGATACTAAATTTATGTTTTAAAGGGCAATACCAAGGTAGGAAGGATGCTGGGCGTCATAGGATGAGATGGTGGGACCTCAAAGGGGATAAACTAGAAATATTTAAGAATAAAATAGATAAGGAAGGTGCTTGGGACTTGGAAGATAATGCTAACACTATGTGAAACTCGATGGCCAATTGTATGAGGAGAATTTCAAGGGAAGTACTTGGAGAGTCGAAAGGAACGAGACCTAGCTCTAGGGAAACTTGGTGGTGGAGGGAAGAGGTTCAAGTGGTCGTTAAGGCAAAAAAAAAGAGTGCTTTAAAAAGTAACAGAAGGATAGAACTGAGGAAAACCTCAAGAGCTATAGATTGGCAAATAAGAAGGTCAAGAAAATGGTGAGAGATGCTAAGTTGAAAGCTTATGATGACCTATACACTAAACTAGATAGTAGGAGGGAGAGAAGAGGGTATACAAATTTGCTAAGATACGAGAGAGGAAAATAAAAGATTTTAATCATGTTAAGTGCATCAAGAGTGATGACTCTAAGGAATTGGTGAAAGATGAAGAGGTTAAGGAGAGATAGAAGAACTATTTTGAGAAACTATTAAATGAGGAACATGGAGGTACGTCAATAAAGAAAGAAATAGCTAGTAATACGATAAACTAAGACTATAGGTTCTATCGCAGGATTAGGAACTTTAAAGTGAAGATTGCACTAAAGAAGATGAAATCAAATAAGGATTAGGAACTTTGGTTGACTAGACTGTTCAGCAAAATTTTGTTAACTAGGAACATGCCAGATAAGTGGAGGAAGAGTATTTTATTGTCAAGCTATAAGAATAAAGGAGATGTCCAGAATTGCAACAACTATAGAGGAATCAATCTAATGTGTCATATAATGAAAGTGTGTGAGAGGATGATGGAACGCCGATTGCGAGATACAACAGAGGTGTCAAAGAATCAATTTGGGTTTATGCCTGGTAAGTCAACAATGGAAGCGATCTATCTGTTAAGGAGAGTAATAGAAAAGTATAAAGAAAAGAAAAAAGACATTCATATAGTGTTTATCAACCTTGAGAAAACATATGATAGAGTGTCTCGGAATATAATATAGTGGGTGTTAGAGAATAAAGGGGTGACAAAAGGTGTTAAAACCTATCACCTACTTCACTCCACTAAACCTAACCCACTACACCACTACCACCTCCACTTCACCTACTCCACCTACCACCTACTACCACCTACTCTTCTATATATAGGAATCATTGTAACATTCAATAAATCAATCAATAATACATAATTCATTCTCTCTATTTCTCTATACATCAAATTTAACAAAAGGTTACATTGATGTGATTAGGGATATGCATAAAGGGGTGGTGACCACTATTAGATCGCCTGCTAGAAAGACAAATGAATTTCCTATCATTGTATTACACAAGGATCTGCCTTAAGTTCTTATCTTTTTGCATTAGTTATGGATGAGTTGATGAGAAATATTCAAGATGACGTGCCATTAATGGATGAGAGTAGAGAATCAGTTAACATAAAGTTAGAGATTTGGAGAAAAACACTTGAATCTAAAGGATTCCGAATAAGCATAACTAAGATAGAGTACATGGAGTATAAATTTAGTAACAATAACAATGAAAGTAAAGCAGAAGTGAAGATTGAAATCAAGAACTGCCTAAGAGTGAACATTTTCGTTATTTAGGGTCAATTATCACAATGGAGGGGGAGATTGATGCGGATGTGGACCATAAGATTAAGGCAAGATGGCTTAAGTGGAGAAGTGCGTCTGGAGTACTGTGCGATAAACGAATACCCAATAGACTAAAAGGTAGTTCTATAGAACGGCTATTAGATCAGCGATGTTGTATGGGACGGAGTGTTGGGTAACCAAGAAACAATATGTCGATAAGATGAGTGTTGCTGAGATGAGGATGCTAAGGTGGATGTGTGGCAAAACTAGACAAGTCAGAATTATGAATGAGTGTATTCAAGAACAGGTAGGAGTAGCACCAATAGAAGATAAGTTGAGAGAGAATCGATTGAGATGGTTTGGTCATATTCAACGGAGATCAATAGAGGCAGTAGTGAAAAGATGCGATGCAGTGACAGTAGTGACGATAAATGAAAGTGTTAAGGGACTGGGTAGGCCTAGATTAACGATGACTAATGTTGTAAATAGAGATATGAATCTACTTAATTTGACTAATGAAATGGCCTTTGATAGAGCCGCGTAGAGAAAGAGAATTCATATAGCCGACCCCATTTGATGGGACTTAAGCCTTGGTTTGGTTTGGTTTGGTTTGGTTTGGTTTAGACATTGTCGCAAACTGGGCATTTGGACACCTATGCTCTACATAAAAGGGTTATGAGCTCTGGGAAATTTTCATTATATTATTAACTGATGATATATTAGGGAGCGAGCTAGCCATCTGTGTGTGTGACTCATTTTCTACCCATTTCTTCTTTGCAGCTCTAACAGCAAAGTTGAATATTTCTCTCCTTTTTTATTTTACATACATAGCAATCAAGGTGAGAATTTGTTTGTGAACAGCCATCCTTCTAAAAACCTAGGTGTGCTCGTATGCACTGAATATGTTTGCAGGCTCTGAATCGATGTCAAAAATAAAAATATCAACAAAAAAGAAAAAGAAAAAAGAACGAGAACGTGCAAACTATTCTTCTTGACCACACAAACTGAGAAACAATATCATATAATAGACAAGGTAAAACTAACCAGCCTCTCCCTCTGCAATGCAGTCAAAACTCGTACAGGAAGGGATATAAGAACAAAAGTGCAAATCACAAGCCTCCAGAGTAAATATACATGGAAGATGATAGTAGCTCTCAGCAGCTCCACCCAGGTGTGAATAACAATGCAGAAGCTTCTCACACCGAAGATGCATGATACCATAACCAGTGAGATAGGCTTTGTCACCAAGATTATTAGGGTAGCCACTAATTCAAAAAACAATGCCATCAGATCATTATTCTACGTCAAATTAGTACATTCCTGCAATTACATGTACAACCCAGAAAAGTACATATCCACAATTTGAATAAAGGTTGACTTTTGAGTGCAAGTCTCCTATATCCTGCATAGAAGTATATTGCAGTTAGAGAAGATGACTTCCTTCCACCAAAAGAAACTGTTGCATTAGGATCATATGAGAAAAGTGTAGGCAAAATTGAAATTAAAAACAATCAACACGGAACAAAATACAATAATCTTGATGCAACTTGCTAATTCGTGTGATGTGATCTCTTTATACAAAGCCCAAAAGGATGGAGAACTCAGATCTCCAAAAACCTAGAAAGAAAGAAGTAATAATCATTTCAACCACCAAAAAAAAAAAAAAAAATCTTAACAAAATAATGATAAAAAAGGATTCAAAATAGTTTTGAATCAACTTTAGAAGAACATTTAAATAGTTATTATTTTTTAGGATTTTGTTTTTTCAGTTAAAGCAAAGGCCAAAATACAGTAAACATCCAAGGCGTAGGATCTGTCACATCCTCTAATACTTTCTAAACTAATCTTCGAAACCATTGTCCACACGACACTGAAAAATTCCTACCACACACATTAATTATGAGATCTTAGTTCATTGGCTAGGGAAAGCTGAGGCTCACGAAACCGGTGCATATATATAATGCTAGAGGGCACTAAAATAGAGTACTGGAATTAAATTGTAGAAGAGTAAAAGTAACGGCAATGACAGTTGGTTCACATCTATAGATGCAAACTAGCCTTGCCACATGTCATCACGTGGAAACCATCCATGGGTTTGCATTTATAGACTTGAAGACTGACCCTTGGAAATGAAGAGGGGAAACACAGTGGGTGTTTAGGGGAACTTCTTAAACGCACTTCTAGGATTAAAAGTCCTTCTAAATTAGTCATCTATCTTTGGTGATGAGTTAAACATGGGCTTCCTGAGGAAGCCAACCCGCCTAGAAGTCCATTCCCGGAAGGAGGTAAAGATGGCTTCTAAAACTGGCTTCTCGAGAAGCCATACTCAATTTAAGAAATAAATTAAAGTTGCCAATGTTATCCTCTTTTTAAGTAGTGATTCAAGAGTGCCGTGTTCTTTGGAGTGCCGTCAAATTAATCATTGATGGTATAACACTTATGTGTATCTATAGATGTGTGTCTATAAATATATATAAACATTTATACCTGAAATCAACATTTTTATTTTTTAGTTTATTTTATACAGTTCCTTAATAAAATAAGTAGCAAAATTCAGTAACATTAATTCGAACAGCTTTATAATGATCCTAATAGAAAGTATATTTATTTTCTTCTCATCTAAATATATTTTTTTCTTCGCTGCCCTAAATTAAATGTGCATAATTTTAGTTAGTGCATTTAGATTGACTTCAAAAAAATTTTATGACAATTAATAAACTGTTAATTTTTCTTTTTGCAGGATGAATATTTTATTTTTTATTTTCATTTTTTTGTTCACCACAATGTTCAAAAAACTTACATCCATTACAGTTTTCTCTTTATTAATTTATTTTTTACAATGTTTTCATTACCGTTAAAAGGATAATAATGTCTATTTGAAAATACTCATTAAATTCAAAAGTACTTATAAAATAAAATGCACCAAACATATATATATATATTTTACAAGTCCTTCTATAGAAGTCCATTGGAGGAAGTCCATTCCGTTAACGGACTTCCGTTTTTCAAAAGTTGTGCCAAACGGCACAAGAGTGAGACTTACTAGAAGAGCTTTTTATAGAAAAATTTCCACCATGGCTTATAACACATTAACCATCTTGCAAAATTCATCATCCTCTTAAAAACTTTACACCAAGTTCATCAACCCAAAACAAATTGACCTGAGTGCACTCCCATTTTCCCATGAGAGAACCAATTTCATGTGCACAAAGACAGTACCAAACTTAGTGTGTGCATCATTTAGAAACAATTCCTTTATATACATTCAAATTCATATGAAAATCTTCCATACTGTACCTTGACACAAGGGCATGTCTAAATCAATTGAGAAAAAAAATTAAAATTGTAAAATAGAGGGGATTCTTCTTTTGTATCTTACATCCTAATTGCCGGATGTCAGCCCAATCAACAGTTCAGGGGCATATTTTTGTTAAATCATAGGCCATGATATGCCATCTCTGACAACCTAACTTCAATTCTTTTCAGGCTCCCTGCTATTTCAATTTTCAACATCATCTAGTCAAGTCAAATCATAGCATCTTAGTGATGCAGTAACAAAATAAAAAATTCATCTCAGTTTGCAGTAAACCCAGTCAAATTCTCAGCATAAACCATTCTATTGACACTTCTAGCCTCCTTGCAAATCCAAACTAGAAAAAAGTATATAATCTGGACACCATGGGGCTGGGCAGAACTGTTTTAAGTTTAAGAGGAAGGCTACTATGTGCACCCCTAAAAGGGGGCACATCGTAAGAAAGTTACGATTTTTTGTAGTGCGTTGTGCAATTTTGTGGTAAAAGTTACGAATGATAAATTTATGGTGTGCACCCTAAAGTTACAAAAGTTGCATTTTTTGTGGAGAGCAAAAAGAAATCCTTTTTTTTTTTTGGGTGGCAAGAAATGTTATACCATCTTGCAGTATTGTTATGAGATGTATACCATATGCATCTTTTTAGGGGTGCACATAGTAGCCTTAAGTTTTAACATCAAATCACATTACAAACTTAGGGTTCAAAAATTGGGAGTCTTTTCTGCTCTACTATAATTCATATTTAAAATATGAGAAGGAAGTATAATTGTTTAACAATACCTTAACTGAAAACATGACATGTTTTGTACAAGTTTCACCTCCGAAATCAGAATTATCAAAAGGAATGCTGAACACACTAAGGTAACATTCACATTGTCTATGTTAGACAAACACTGCCACACTTAACCAAACCAAATTTCTCAAAGTTTCACAAAGTTGGTCATTAATAGTGTAGAATCTTATCTCAAAGTTTCACATTATTGATACATGCAATGGTGGAGTTAGAAATTCAATGTGGAAGGGGCACATATACAACATTAAAAAAATATAATAATAAATTATCCCATAATAAGTAACAATGAAATGTTATTAAACATATGCATTCTATTTTTTTAATAGTACAATTATTATGAGAATTACATCAATGTCGAAATAATCTTTATATACAAGGGTATTAGTATAAATATTTAAATTTTAGGGAGCCACATGAACCCCCTAGGCCTTAGGTAGATCCGTCCTTGAATACATGATGATTAGGATGATGTTATTATCAAAGAATCCAATGGGTGTAGCTAAATTTATGCTGATCCAGAACCAACATGGAATTTTCTAATCCCTAACTTGCAAACCACTATAATTGAAGACCTTACTAATTGCACTTTCCACTACACAGACAAGAACCCAAATTTGCACCTAATATCATTCCAGTCCCAACTCAAAACAAAATCAGTAAATTCACAAAACAACAACCCTATCTAAACATCTACTGTTCAGTTGCTGAGAAAATAGGAGAAAAGAGTCCGAAATAAATTATAGAATGTTATGTCATATTTTGTTTTAATTTCTTAGAAAATGAAACGCTAAATCAAAAATCTATAATTCCCCTTTTTTTCATATTTTTTCTTATATTATATTAGTAATCAAACAGAAAATTGGAATTAAAAATAAAACCTGAAAAAAAAATTAAAAAAACAAAACAAAAGTAAAAAAATCTAATATTTAGATAAACACCAATACCAAAATAGGGTTTGTTTCAGATCCTTTTCATTTCATCTCCATTTCCTAATCAATACCGTGAAAGCTAAATTTGTTGATGTGGGATATTATTTCTTAACTCTTTCATAATGCAACAATTTTGTAATTGAATTAGTTTTTGGCATGGTTTGGGAAGTTGGTTTTGGTGGGTTAGGGGCTAAAATAGCCACAAAAAACAAAATACGCTATTTTAGCCACAAAAAACAAAACATCAAATTCAACCCATAATCATTACATTCATTTCTCACAAAAAAAGTCAAAAAAGCCAAAAAAATCAAAAAGCCCTTCTCAAATCAGGCTTTTTAACCCCAGGCTAAAATAGCCAAAAAGCCAACCCACTTCCCAAACGGAGGCTTTGTAATACAACCGCTCAACTTGCTATTGGACATTTATTTTGAATTCTTTAATTTTCACAAAAAGATTTCACCATATTTTATTTTATTTTTTATTATGAGAATCAATCCTACTACTTCTGGACTAGAACTGCTTTATTGGGCTCTCTCTCTCTCTCTCTCTCTCTCAATTGCCTCAGGCCGGAGTCTAATAAAATGAAATCAAGATTTTCTACAAACAAATGGATAGTATAAAAACCCCCAAAATAGCATGAAAAAACAAAGAGAGAGATATACAAAACAACAACAGATCAAAAATTACAAAGTTACATAAACTGAATCCACAAACATAACAAGTTGGAGACTCTGCCCCCTCCCATTACTGACTTAACTAATTCCACAAAACCCTATTCCCTTTAAAACACCAGCACCAAAACCCTAGTTTTCGCGGAACTCCATTACCACTTCGTTCCATTACAAATAACAATCAATCAATGAATTATCAAAAACATTCAGCCAAACAGAACACACTTTGCAACATATAGTAAGAATCAAGAAGCTTTTAGAGAGAGAGAGAGAGAGAGAGAGAGTGAGTAACCTTGTTGTGGGGTTTATTGGGGTTTCACAGACAGGTGATGATGGAGATGAAAGCTTCGCTGAGAGAGAGAGAGAGAGAAAGAGGGTTCGGTGGATCAGTGTAGGGTAGGAGAGAAGAGAGGGGTGACACGTGGAGGACACGTGGGAAGAGAGAGAGAGAGAGACGGAGAGAGCGTGTGTGTGTGTGTGTGAGAGTGTGAGAGTTAAGGCCTCGGAAGTGGCTACGTTTTTACCTTTATTTATTTATTTATTTATTTTTGACTATTCGGTTACTATAACAGGTTATTTTTAGAAATTGTCTGGGAATTGTAATATTAATATTTTTTTAATTTTTTATAAAAAATTAAAAAATTTGAATTGTGTTTGAAATAATATGATAGAGAAATAATGTGAAATAAATTAAATGATTATAATACAAATAAGATAATATATTAAAATAATTATTTTAATATATGTTAAATAAAATTTTAATTTTTATGTTTAGGAAGGAGGTTGAATTTTTCGTTTTATTATTGTATTAAAAAATAAGTTTGAAATGATGTCGAGATAAGAAATAAAAAAAATTGCCCTAATGCTTGAATGATTGTTCTAGCTTTCAAAAACTCTCAAGCTAAAATCATCTTTTCGCATTAGGGGCAACTCTGTCACATTTACGTAGACCTGCTGTAGACTTGCTTCACTTCTTTTTGTTCGCATATGCTTTTTGGCCTTTTTTCGACTCTCGAGTCATTTTCAGTCCTCGACTCACTTCCCAAGCGTCCCTTTGGGTTGGTTTAGGGGTTGAGTTGGCTTTTTATTTCTTTTTTTTTTTAATTTTTTTTAATTATTTTAAGTTGAATTAAAAAATTTAGTTTGAAAAAGATTTTTTGATTTTTTTTATGAGAAAAAAATATGATAATTATGAGTTAGATGTAATATTTCATTTGTTGTGATTAAAATAACATATTTTATCTTTTATGACTAAAATAATTAAAAAAATCCACAAAATCACCTTCCAAACCGTGCCTTAAGGCCAAGTTTGGCTACTGCCAAAAAAGTGCACTTATTTCATCTTTTTATCTTTTTTGGGTCACATCAATCAACATCTCCTCTCTACTTTTTCTACACATAATACAAAAAAAGTCAAAAAGTACACTTATTTAGTCTTCCCAAACTAGGCCTTAATCTATTTTGGCGCCAAAAGCGCATTGTACGAAGTGTGATACCTGCGGGTCGGGGGTTTGAATTTCTAGATTATCGGGTATACTTGCCACTCTCGGGTCTACCAATAATGACCTGTTTATTAGATGAGTAAAACAATTGCTTAGGACTTGTATTTATGGTACTAAACAAAATTAAGAAACTTACGCACGTATCTCAATTGGTGAATTTATTACTTAATAAATTTTGTAATAATTAATAGTATTTTTATAAATAATAGTTGTGGTGAGTAAAAATTGAACCACTTTTACTGCTGCGGTACTCCGACGCGAACACAATGGAACTTAACCTGAAACACTTAAGAAAATATGAAGAACCCGACTGGTGGGCAACCAGGGGACTCTCTGATGTGTAAGTTATTAAACTTGAAAGCTATAGAGCAAAAAAATATAAAAGTAGGAGCAACCCAGAGTAATGTTAATTAATTGTCTACCTTTTTCCTCACTTGGTATGGCTTTATATAGTCTCCAAAATGGTTGTTGGAGTTAGTTCCACTTCCCGTGTCACTCCTCACGTTCAACCAATTTTTTGTGGGATCATGTTCCACTATCACGAATTTCTAGGGGTAGTTAGCCCTTAAAGTAAGGACCAAGTTTTGACCAAGTCTGCCCCTGAGGGCCATGCCTTCTGCACCTAGCCTTCTGGCATGGACCCTAGACCTAATCTTCTAGTCCTGCACGATTGGTTTTGGACCCGCATGTTTGAATTTGGACTCCTGGTCCTACATCTTTGGTTCTAGTCTTGCACCTCTGGTTTTGGACTTGCATGTCTGGACCTGGACTCTTGGTCCTACACTTTTGGTTCTGGTCCTGCACCTTTGGTTCTGGACTCGCATGTCTGGACTTGGACCTCTGGTCTTGGTCTATAAACATGTTATTCTGCTCATTAGAGTGTATTCGGTTCGAATTCTGCACATTTTTTGCTCGGAATGAAACTCTTTATTTTTACCTCCCACAATTGCCCCCAACTTCGACTTTTCCAAGCCCAGTCTTAAGGAAAGTTGGAGTTCATTCGGGGCAGAACTATTCATACGAGAGCGAAAAAATTTAGTTGTTGATTAGCAGACTTTCTTGTATTTCAGCAATTTAAGTGAAAGAACATAACTATCATCTGAGTTGGATTGTCCAACATTCTTGTACTTAGGAAATTGCTGAAAATTACACCTAAGTGAAAGAACATAATTACAATCAGAGTTGGCTTGTCCAACTTTCTCGTACTTAAGGAATTGCTAGAAATTGCACTTAAGTGAAAGAACATAACTACAATCCGAGTTGGATTGTCCAATTTTCTTGTACTTAGAGAATTGTTAGAAACTGCACTAAGTGAAAGAACATAATTACAATCCTCAAATTGTCCAACTTTCTTATACTTAAGGAATTGCTAGAAATTGCATTTAAGTGAAAGAACATGACTACAATCCAAGCTGGATTGTCCAACTTTCTTATACTTAAGGAATTGCTACAAATTGCACTTAAGTAAAAAAACATAATTACAATCTGGACTAGATTGTCAAACTTTCTTGTATTTAGGGAATTGCTAGAAATTGCACCTAAGTGAAAGAACATAAATACAATTCAAATTGGATTGTCCAACTTTCTTGTACTTGGGAAATTACTAGAAAATTGCACCTAAGTGAAAAAAAACATAACTACAATCCAAGCTGGATTGTCTAACTCTCTTCTCTTTGAACCAATAAGTACTTAGAAATTTTTGATCTTCCTCCAGCTTGCTATACTAGTCAATCCTGATTAATAAATCAGTAACTTCTCTTGCTGGTTTCTTGGAAAAGAACTGCCATAACTTATCTTTTGGTAACAAGCCACGCTTAAACGTGGCGACTACTACTTGATTTGAATAATCCTCTTTAACTTCATAAAAGATCTCCCAGTAAAGTTGGAAATACTGCTTGAGGGTTTGGTCAGGAGATTTTTGGAGGGCAAGCAAAGCATTCACCTCCTTAGTACGCTTGACGTTGATCACAAAGTGCTTCACATAACTCTCTGACAATTTTTGTCAACTGTCAATAGACCTTTCATGACGCTTATCAAACCATTGGCTGGCTACTTTTCCTAGGCTAAATGGGAAAACCCCGCACATGAGTGCCTCATTCTTGTTCCAAAAGGACATTGTAAGGCGATAGTGACGAAGATGGTCCAAGGGATCTCACCAACCATTATAAAGCTCGAACTCTGGAATATTGAAAATTTTTAGAAGCTCCATGTTATTAATCCTCCTACTAAAAAGAGAAGTGATTAGATCAAGCCTTGGTTTTGTTATCCAGACCATATTCATTTTGATGCTCTTTAGATAGGTGTTGAACTCCACTATTCTGTTCAAACAGGTGCTGGGGCACACAGTTCAATTTGGACAAGTGCTGAAGCACACCGTTTGCTTGAATAGGTACAAAAGTAAGATGTTCTGCTCGGAAAGATTCTGAAGCATGTTGTTCTACTCAAACAGATGCAGAGTATGTTGTTCTGCTCAAGCAGGTACATGAGCAGGATGTTCTGCTCGGATAGATGTAGAATCAGGATATTCCGCTCGGATAGATGTAGGAGCAAGATGTTTTGCTTAGACAAATGCAAGAGCATAATGTCTTGCTTGAATAGATACCAGAACAGGATGTTCTACTTGGACAGATACAGGAGCAGGATATTTTACTCAGACAGGTGTAAAAACATGCTGTTCTGGTCCGATAGGTGCAAGAGTAGGATGATCTACTCGGAAAGATGCAAGAGCAGGATGCTCTACTCAGAAAGATGTAAGGATAGGATGTTCTGCTCATACAGGTACAAGATCAGAATGCTCTACTCGAAAAGATGTAGGAGCAGAATGTTCTGTTCAGAAATTGCTCAGTCCGAGCTAATTTTTCCAATCCTGAGTTGCCTTTTAGTCCGAGGTTGAAGTTGACATTGCTTTAAGGTTCTGACCTATTTAGACAATTCCTTGAGTCGTTTGTCCATTGCACTGATGAATTTGTCTCTCTGAGCTAACTTATGCAACTAGATGCTGCCTTCTGCTCGGTCTTTCAAGGGTTGGTCGTGAACTTCATACTCACATAATTCATATGGAGCTTTTACATTTAATGGGCTTGTCCGTTGAACTTGAGAGCATAAGACGTCATGTTCTTCACCAATTGATAGGATGATATTTTTTGCCACCATTAATGATTGAAAAATGAATGAATTAAAACTAGCAAAGAGTAGAAAAAGATTTTTTATAACAAGTTTCCTATAGACGATTCCAAATTGTGGTGGGTAAAAATTAAACCACCTTTGCTGCGACGGCACTCCGGCGTGAACACGATAGAACTTAGCCTAAAACACTCAAGAAAATATGAAGAATCCGGTTGGTGGGTAGCTAGGGAACTCTCTGATGCTTAAGTTATTAAACTTGAAGGCTATGAATCAATAAAATATAAAAATAAGAGTAGCTCAAAGTGGTGTTAATTAATTGTCTCCAAAATGGCTGTTGAAGTTGGTTCCACCTCCCCTACCACTTCTCACGTTCAGTCCCTTTTTTATGGAATCATGTTCCACTATCACGAATTTCTATGAGTGGTTGGCCCTTAAAGTAAGGACCAAGCTTTGACCAAGTCTGCCTCTAAGGGCCATGCTTTCTGGACTTGGCCTTTTGGCATAGATCCCTAGACCTAGTTTTCTGGTCCCGTACGATTGGTTCTAGACCCACATGTCTGAACCTGGACTCTTGGTCCTACGTCTTTGGTTTTGGTCCTGCACCTTTGGTTTTGGACCTGCATGTCTGGACTTGGACTCCTGGTCTTGCACCTTTGGTTCTGGTCCTACACCTCTAGTTCTTGACTCGCATGTTTGGACCTAGACCTCTGGTCCTGGTCTATAGACCTGCTTTTCTGCTCATTAGAGTGTATCCTGCTCAGATTCTGCACATTTTTTGCTTGCAATGAAACTCTTTATTTTTACCTCCCACAAAAGTAACTAATTATTAGTTTTTAGCGATAGTTTAAAAAA